TATAACACTCGTGGAATTCTGAATCCTTAGGAGTACAAACTCCAACAAAAACCGGGAAACCTTCGCAGGACTTAGTGGCAGGCTTTTTTGGATGATGCACTAGCTTTATAAGGAACTTTTATGCTCACCCTATTTCCGCAAGCACACAAACCCTCCATTGTGGGGAGGGCAATGGTATTCCTTCTGGGATTTGCAAAACATTGATCGAGGCCATCGCTGCTGGATATGTCGTGGCTCATACACGGATTCGGATATAAGGTAGAGACAGTTCATAGAAACTTCAGGACACACTCCATTGATTAAAAATATCTTTTGAGGACAAGTGAATGAAAACTGAAAGTTTTGGCACAACACTCTAACTCTTGAAGTGTCAGTGGTGCTATCGTAGCTGTTCCTGGGCCAGCAGCAGACGCAGTCCGGGAGCCAAGAGCAAGGAGGGCTGGCGTTCGTTGGTTGAGTGCCGCCAGTCACACATGCAGTGATAGAAAGAAGACTAATCGCTAATAGAAAATTGCCTTATGAGCTTGTGGTTCTTTCGCATTGATCTGATATTACAGACATTGTGTATCCAAACAGCGCACCTAACCTGGATACATGCTTGGCTGCAGAGATGGCAAGAAAACGCATCAAGTCGAAGTCAGAGATGCCTTGAGTCCCATGCAACCTAGAAAATAGCCCTGTAAGGTTGTGGTTCTTTTCGTGGTGTTCTGCAAGCGTTCCTTCTGGGGTCATTTTTGATCCAACACCAGACCTCAATGTAAGGATTATTTACAGACATTAGGTATCCAAACAGCAAACAACCAATACAATACACATCCACTTGTCTGGACATGGATGTGCTGTTGCTGTCGAAGGAATCACTGGACCTATTGCGCAACGGTGAGGTAACAGGAGTTCTGCGTGGGACGTCTACCTCCAAGCGTGGAGAAACCAACCTTGATTCATCCCATTTTCTGTTTTGTTGTTCATACACTGCAGAAGGCGTGTTCTGACCCACTCCTTACAATCTACCTGAGGATATTTGGCTCGCGCAAACTGCCATTGGGAAGGTTGTAGCGAGGGCTCACCTTGTGGCGGTGCATGGCTTGGACGAACAGACTATCCGAAGCATGGGAGAGGCAATGCAAGAGCAACATAGAAGACTGAGCTATGCAACTCCTCACTTATGGGAGCTCCGCAACTTAGAATGGCTTTCCGAGCCTTGGGAGATACCAGCTCAAGCCCGCACAGGCTGTGTGCAGTGGATTCCAGCCCGACGGTGGCAGATGTTGCAGGTTGAACCTATCAAACGCAAACGCCCCAACAGTGCCAAGGCCTGGCCGAAGCGATTCCCCCGAAAGCCGCGAGCGGATGGCAGAAAGCCGAATATCCCAAAAGGATTGTTGTTGTCGCAAAGGAGACCCAAAAAGAGTAAGAAGGTGAAGCGACCCAACCGCAACGCCCCAGCTACCTCTGCCAATGTCGACTCTGTAGATCGAGGAAGGCAATGCGTCGACGCCGCCCAAAGGCTGAGGGCAGGGAGGACTTTGCAGACTCTCCGTCGTCTGGCCACCATGTGCTTGTTTCATGAGCGGAGTCCCTTTGATGCCCCTCACAACCCCAAACCAGGCAGGTGTGCAACTTACCAAGGAAATCTTTGCTACATCATCTCCATCTTCAAGCGTAGAAATGTAGCCATGGCAGATGTTCTTCCACTGCACCGTGCACAGAACGACTTTACCATGACAGCGACCCGAGCAGATGCGCAAACCTGTTGTCAGAAGGACTTGCGTGACATTGGCCAGACATGTGTCCAGCTCCAAAAACGCAATCTCAGAAAAGGTCGCCTTCTTTTCCGGGTCATCCCTCCTCACTCAGATGGGCATGCTGCTGATGTGCAGAGTTTGCAAGTCTACTTGGGCCCCCTGCAGTCAAGTGACCCTTCGCCTGATCCCGAGACATTCAGTGGAGAACCCATCCGCGTTGAACCGCTAGCCGCCCGGGAGCACAAGAGCCTCCTGATCGAAGGCTGCTGGCATCAAGTGGTTGCACCTTGGCGTGTGTGTGTGTGTGTCTGTGACAAACCCCGTTCCAAGGGATTAATTAACCTACTCTATTCTATCCCACTTGTTTTTCCCAGCCTGTGCTGATATCAGCAAGGACGCTTGCTGACGTACCTGCAACAAGTTTAAGTTTCCGTAAAGGGCTAATGCGAGTTGTTGAAACTTTCTGTTGACTGAACTTTGCATTTTTGCCGTTCACTGAGTCAAGGTCCATTCTGCAATAAGAGTAAAGTGCTAATGCTCACCGCACATTTTCTGAAATCACGCTCCGTGGAGCACTCATTTTAAGTGTGTGGGCGCACGGCCACTGATGCATGTTCATGTGACTCTCCGCGTTGCCCGAAAACTGTTTACTATATCTTTTTTTGCTCATAGGTATCTATGATGCTCCCTCAATAGTAATAGGGACATCTGGCAAGTCCATTGCTCCAAGGAAGGGCGGAACCAAAGAATGACTTGACAGTGTTTTTTCTGTGACTTGAGAAAAGTATATATCTATATCTTTTTTTTGTTCATACATATTAATAATGCTCCCCCAATAGGGGCATCCGGCGAGTCCATCGCTCCAAGCGAAACGAAAGAATAATTTGCCAGTGTTTTTTCTGTGATTTCAGAGAAGTAAATATTCAATCTTGGCGGGACGCTGAATCTTGATTCCAGTGAAGTGTATAGTTGAGAAGGGCCACAGTGAGATTATTGCAACTGTAAGGAATTTGGTACCCGTCGTGCTTGTTGCGGGATCGCTTTCATGAACATGACATGAGGTACGTCGTGACCTATGCCAGCGGGCTACGTTTTTGTTGGACACACCATTGCCGCACTTGCTCGACACCCGACCAGAACGGTGCTTAACCTGCGGCAAGTCTTTTGCAGTGAAGCCCACTGACATTCGCCGCCTTTTTCCGCACGCCCTCAAGAGTCATGCGTCCAAGCAACGTGTGTTGTGGTTTTCAGGACGCTGGCTGGTGCAAATGGTGCAGAAGTTCTCCGAAGTGCCAACAGCAGCTGCCGTTAAACGCCACCTTCTTGACCTTTATGCCTCTAATTCTCTCCGGCTGGCCACTTCGCAACAGCAGCTTGGCGTGCTTTCTTGCCTGCCCAGACTTCGCGCCCTGCGCGGGGTCTTGCGCCAGGCCCTGACAGCTTACTTGCCCGGACTTGTGCAGGAGATTCAGAAGTTCGCCCATCCGTACTCAGGTAGCGCAGTGAAGGGAGACGGCAATTTCAAAATAGCCTCTCGCATCAAAGGCGCGGCCACGCATCGCTTTTTCAACTAATCAATCAACTGCGTGCACAGTTCTAGGATGTTCCAGGCCAGTGAATTCAGTGTCGCCAGCTGTCAGGAGCTCGCCCTTCAACCGCTGTGATTTATGCCTGGTGCGGCATCGATGGCTGCCTATTGAAGCCGTGCGAGTTGCTGCCCATTGAGTCCTGGGCCCACATGAAGCCAGATTTGGAGAACCTGGCCGATCTCATGTAGCTTGCA